CTAATAACTAGCTATTTACAATCTAACACTATTTAAACATTTCAATAGCTGTTTAAATGAATTTGATAGCTAATTAAAAACAGGTAAACAGTTATTCAATGATTTAAATATTTGCATCCTTTGTAACAAGATGCGATTTATACATCTTGATCATGTTATAGGCTATTGAAACCTAACGCTATTAAAAAATTGTCATAGATATTGTTTCTATTCATTGCTTTTTATCCGTCTTTTTAATTGATTATACCATACTTTCTATCATTTTTTGATAATATGTATTAAAAAATATTTTTGTAACAGCTGACATTTTCTCCCACTGACATTGAATACCTCTTAGGTTTTTCCCTTGTATTATGATCTAATTTCTTTCTGATAAATTTGATTATTTTATACTTGAATGTCTACTATCGATTTATTGTTATTTGTACATTGATTAACAGAAGTACACATTTTCTAAAAAAAAAAGCGGCTCATCACTTCCCAATTAATCATTGTTTTTGAAAGATAAAACAGCATCGAATATGTTGGATGCAACATTTATTTATTTATTTATTTTTATGTCCTTTTAATATTCGAAATTTTTATTATTTAATCATAGCCAAGGCATCATTTTTGAAAGACCTCTGAACTTATCTTCTTCTGACTCAATTTAAACGTTCAATAGTTAATTTCAACAATTCTCTCTTCAAGTTAAAGAACAATTCGATGATATTCTCTTTTGTTATTCATCTATGTAAATCCAACCTTTCCGGTCTTTGCTAAAAAAAGCAAGGATAGTAATTAAAGAGCCAACTGATATTTAAATAGCTATAGATATCTATAAAATAGTTCTTGAGATTAAATACCTATTGACTTAGACATGTAGAGAATCAAGAAATAAAGAAATCTTTATTAAAATGAAATATATCTGTGCAAAACTCTCTTAGACATCTTTGTTTTCTATCTTTATCTAGTGTCTCTACACAGAAATTGTATCAGTTTTGAGAATGAGCCATCTTAGATAAATGAATCATATGTTGAAGATGATGACAGTCACATTTTCAGATATACCAACGTTTTATCTGATACCGATGGTAGCTATCGACAATATCATTCATAGGTGTACAAATGCTTTGCGTTGAGCATACAATATTGAAATCATCAAGTTGATCAAAAACTCGGTAGACGAGTTCGATCGGTAATGTAAGAAGTGTTAGAACAGTTTTGATCGACATGAATGAAATTTGTTGAGCTTTTCAGGATGTAGGACAGTATGTTGAATATATCGTATGTTTCTTGGGAGGTTTTTTGTTTAAGTAAGTTTACAATAGTTGTGCGTCGTTAATTTCTCGTGCTTTTGTAATTGCTTGTTTTGAGAAATAAATAAAAAGTAAAGATTTATGATGAAAGCGCCACGGTAACAACAATAGTTTATTTTGCGTGTTGATAAATTGATTTGTTCCATGGTAAAATATGGGTATGTATCACCTTGAAATTACTTTTTCATTCTTCTTGGACACATTTCAACTGAGATTTGATGGAACAGCTGACCGCATAAGATTATTTACACTTTCTTATTATTGCAACGGCAGTTTATTATTTGATGATCAATTAAGTCGAAAGAATCAAATCATACGTAATGCAAGCAATGGTAGACAGCACCGCGTCTAAAATTTTATCATTATGGTTTTTCAGACAACAACGAAAAGGTCACGTACTTGTATATTATCTACTTTGGCATTATCTCCTAATTATGAAAGTGTCCAAAATCTATGATTCGATGCTGTGCAATGATATAAAATCAATATTTCTGACATAGTTCATTGAATACTATCGAGTGATCCATGGAAGAATGACGGTACAACTGTTGAACAACGACACCGCGGCGCCCACACTCTTTGATATGTTTCATCAATTACACCAATTTATGTAGAGAGTGTCATTCTTCTGCAGTTGTATCTCAAAGTCAGTTTTTACTTCTTTGCTATAAAGAATTAGTCACCCAGTAGATTAGTGAATATCTCTGTCAGTTTTCGACGCTTTGACTTGAATTTTCTTCCAAAAGTAAAAGATGTTACTTTCGAAATGTATATATCCAATATTTTTTTACATTTGAATATAGCTAAGATATAAAAAATTAAAAATGGTGTCGTTAGTTAAGAAACATCCATTGATTGACTGGACAAAACTAGGTTTTGGAACAACCTGATTGGACGAGAGTCCGAGAGTGAAATCATATGATTGGATGGCACACTGGTAACAAAGTCGTGTGGTTGGCTGAATCATCGCAATAAAAAAAGCTGATTTCAAATAGCTGCTCCAGAACATGCCAGTAAACATACAAGCAAACAAGCTCATTTTATTTCATATAATCCTTCCTTTAGTCGAGGAAATACAATCAGATGATTGTTTTTAAAGCTTAAATATTCGAGATAGTAATACAAAGTTGAATATTTACTTATTTTACTTTTAAAAATGCTTTTATATTACGATCAATTTAATCAATGTCAATACAATATTAATAACTCTATGTGCACAATACCAATACAGTAAACATAAATACTAACTACTAAATCATGAATTTAAACATATATAATAAAACATCCTCCTACAATAGAAGACACCAGGCATCCTGATATGCTCCCAACGCAATAAATGTTCCAGAGAAGTCTTCTGTTACAATCGTCTTTGTTAAGTATTAATTATTAAAAATGTATCTCAGGAAATCAGAACAACTTGCAGGATATAAATGTGTTTTCCCCAGGATATATGAAGATGCAGTAATGCTTTTAGCTTCAGTAATCATCGTTTTCTAAATAACAATCCTCTGAGCTCGACCGTTTTTCGATTAGATGAATGAATTTCAGTTACTATTTGAACTTAATAAGCTAATTAATAGAGAACCTTCTATTGTATCTGAGGTATCCGTCTTTCTGGGACCATTCTTTTTGTGGAGAAGGTTTCTCTTACAACGGAAGTATTTTAGATAATAATCGTTTGCTGTAAAACTATTGTTGTAATAATAAATAAAATAGTGCTAGCTAGCTCCGATAGAATTAAAACGGTTTCTTTTGATTTCGGTTCAATTCAACTGCAGACTTTCTTTTTAAATGTCGACTTAGATTCGATTGAACTTTTGAACAACCCAAACACAGGCTATCTCACCTTGACATTGATCAACATCTTTCATCAATATATCTCAACTTATCTAGCTTTTTCGTTTTTCCGCGATAACTCATGAGATATTTGTCGGCTTTTTGCTCAAACCAATGATCTTGTTTCTCAGCGTCGTCTAGTCAGTCAGGTTCCTCGGCTTTTTAAAGCACCCAATCAGACTTTTTCGACATCCTTCAGCAGGCGAGCAAATTGTTTTCAACATTTTCTTCCGGTCGATTAAGTTTGTCCGAACTCAAATTGGAACAAAAATCTGATGAGTTGAAAGAAAATTGCGCAAAATCTGACTGCCTGTACAACTGTGTCACAAATAGCTGATTGACAGGCACCGAAGTCTTGAAAAACAAATGATTAAATGGAATCAAGATCTGAGAAAAATCGTATAGACTAGAAAAAATTGAATCAGGGAACACAAAAAACGAATAAATATAATTGATCGAGAAACGTAGAAGTGAGATCCTGCTTGATCTGACGATAATATCGCCGCTGAAACTATTTGCTAAAGTAAAGTGAAAGAAATTCGGACGTCTAGATCTCTCGAACTGAAAGTCGGTCGTCTATTTTTATGGGTATGATTGCTGAAACTTCACAATAATTCATGAAATTTAACATTGGATAACCCAACTGTTGACTGTATTAATGATGAGATTTCTGAGCGCCATCTCATAGGAATTGGCAAACTTGAATTGACTTAACTACTATCGGCGCCAGAAGTCAAGGCAGTCGGATGTTCTGTAAATAATTCTTGGAAGGAATAAGATAGAGACCTGCGGTTTTCAGCATTTCATTGCCAAGACCCATGAGCATATTTTTATTAGCAAAATCTTTCTTGAAAAATCCAAAGATCGGTTTTTCAGAGGATCTTTGGAAAACCTCGCTGGATTTCTGGAAACTGTGATAGCAGTATATTGATTTTTTACATATTCGGAATCAGCATCGAAAACTGAGTCGATTCATGTATGGTTCGAGTCTTTCCATGAACTTTTTCTTCGTCGAAAAATTCATCTCTAGTCCTTCTGACGGGCAGGTAAAGATGAATTTAGTCAAAACGGCGTTTTTATTGTTTATTCATTTGCCATTTTATGTGCTTCTATCATTTTAGAACCTCTGAATCTGCTTTGCACTGTCTAAGTGACTTTTTCGCTGAAGTCATGTTTTTACCTACCCGTAAGGGGACACTAGGGATGAATTTTTCGATGAAAAAAAAGTTCATGAAGAGATTCGAACCATACATGAATCGACTCAGTTTTCGATGCTAATTCCGAATATGTAAAAAATCAATATATTCGTATCACAGTCTCCACAAAATTCAGCTAGGTTTTCCAAAGATCCGCTGAAAAACCGATCTTTAGATTTTTTCTCAGCAAAGATTTTAGTCTTGAAAATATGCTCATAGATCTTGGCTATTAAATGCTGAAAATCGGAAATCTCTAACTTGTTCCTATCGCAAGTTATTCAAAAAACATCCGACTGCCTTGACTTCTGGTGCCGACAGTAGTTAGGTGTATTGGGTATCTGACGTGGCTCGACATCGATCGCTACGATGTTACCAAATTCTTGTCCAGACAGAGCCGAATTTGAGCTGAGACTCTCAGTTTTCGTACATTCTCAATCTAGATGAACTCGGGAACTTTTTCTAGATGACAAAAATCATTTGATAATATAATGTCTTAGTAGTGAAATATTATGTAGCTACAGTTTCATCTAAATCAAAAGAAGCTGTGTCTGAGGTCCAACTTCTTTATTTAGATTAGGGTAGAATATAATAAAAAAACGCAATTCATTGTCTGGTTCATGTGTCTCTCCTCAAATATGACTCATCGAAATAAGATGGGTCTAGAATTGAATCAAAGTTTTGTATATTTAACAACTTTTTCTGCAGCGTCATCAACAACATACAGATTGAGATCCGAGTCAAAGGCCAAGTCAAGTGGTGAATCGAGACTTGTTTGCGTACTATCTTGAGCTACGACTTTACCCACCGTCGAGTTAACACAATACATTACCACCCGCTTATTGGTTCTGTCGACAACATACAAATTTCCATAAGTATCATATTCCATGCCTCTCGGAGCATTAAGAGTTGCCGTTGTGGCATTAACTTGAGTGAGAGTTACACTTGGGCTTGAGGCACCAAACGTCCACAAATATACACTATCTGTTTCTTCAGAACTCACATACGCTTGATTCGATGAGTAAAGTGAAAGCAAGATGCCATAAAAGCCTGAAGTCGAACTAGGACCAATGACAATAGTACCGGCTGCTGCATTTCGAGCCCATTTTACAACCCTTTTATTTTTTCTTTCCGCAATATATAGATTCAAATTGTCGTCAAGATCCATGCCTAAAGGATCACTGAGATCAGTAAGCGCAGTGGTAGAGGAGCCGAGTGTTCCAGCAACGTTTGTACCGACACCTGAATTTGGGGGATAGCGTATCACTCGGTTATTAGTATGCCCAGCCATATACATATATCCATCTTTGTCAAAGGTGATTGATTCAGGATGATCACCAGTTGGAATCGCGTCAACCACTGTCACACCACTTGTAGCACCTTTTACGTATTTTTGCACGCGATAGCCGTGATGATCAGCCACATACATTGTATCATTTTCATCGATTTCCACCCAGGCTGCTTTGTTAAATTGATTAGCACCTGAGCCTGATGAGCCGCCAGCAACAGTTGTGCCCGTTTGGTTCCAACGAAGGCTCAGACCTAAAATCACATTCATACAAGAAGTTATATTAGCATGAAATAGCTTGCATGAATCGTAAGCTGTCGTAGTTGTTGATGTTGTTGAAGTTGTTGATGTTGTCTTTGTAGTCGATGTGGTCGACGTTGTCGTCGATGTCGTCGATGTCGTCGATGTCGTTGCTGAAGCAGTTAAACAGATTTACAACTGATCATTTTACAGCGAAACAGGACGGGACAGAAAAAAAAAATTTGGACAGAGAAAGCGAGGGATAAAGCGTTGTGGAACATGAAAGATCGAAATTGAATTCCATTCTCTCTCCGTGCTCGCGATGGAACATAATGCGTAAAATGACAGCTCACGTACCCGATCACAATAACGATCCCTTTTACGTCCACAATTAGGAAGGACAGCGTACAGCTCTGGTGGGATAAAACATTGAATAAGGTGTACAACAGTCATAATGAAGTTTACCTCAATGAAAAGTGAGTGAAGTATGGAACTAAAGCAATGATTGGTTTCGTGTCCAAGAAACGATGTAATATGTAATGCGTTTGCTTGAAAAACAACTGGGTGAATACATTGAAGAATTCTATATAATATTGACACGTAGATCTTGATTCATTTTCAATATAAATCAAGTGTAATCGTCCTGATAGTATTATATACAACACTGGAATCAAAGCTGTTAGCGCAATCCCTTGCGGGATTAAAAATGTGAAACATGATGGCTCTATTATTACTAATTAAATGGAAATCCTTTTCTTCCATTACGTTGCGATACATTTGTAGCTAACCGTTAATCTGATGCTTTACAACTACAGTTTCTCTGTCACGGTCTGTGATGGGTACCNATTTCATCTAGTCGGCAGATCACTTTCATGGGTTCTTTTGCATGTTTTTCAAATATGATTAGTTTTAAAAGGATTTCGTCTTATACATTATCAGAGAAAAAGACGTCCCAACTCCTCCTCTTTCGATTGACGAAAACCGCAGATCGCTAGCTATTGCGGTTGTCGAGTTATTGAGCTTACACCCACCCCTATTTAATTCTGGCGCCGACAATAGTTGTGTATACCAGAGATTTACGAGTTCATCTCACGCTCTAACACACGTCCATGTGAAGTCAAGCGTGTGACGCACGTAAGCGTGAGCGACGATACGAGATGAACTTGCGGATCTCTGGCAGGTACTATCTATAAGAGAGGAAGGAAAGAAAGATAACATGCGTTCACCAATCCTTATTCTTTCTGAAGCCGTATATATATAGGATGAAATCGATTTATTGATACGAATCATTGCAGATAACACATTGAAAGCAACATGACATCGATCCAACGTAAATGAATAAATTATTACATATATAAATCGTTCAAAAGTATCTCTCCGTAAAGTACCATTTCGGCAGTGAAAATCACAATAATTGATTACTGGTCTTTAATGACATTTGTTAAAAGAGAATAACATAAAATAAGTTTTGTAATGAAATAATTGCCGTATTTGTTGCCATAAGAAGTTTATCTACCCTGTCGGATGAATCACATACCGGTTCACTTTTCTTCGTTGTCAAGTTTTGATGTTTACTGAACCCTTTGGAAATTTTGAGTCTGAATATTTTTCTTCCTCTTCAATAAAGAAAAAGATTGTCACTTACTGAACCAACTTCTAACTTTATCGAGTAAGAATTCGATGATTTTGTATTCGTTCTTCTTTTCGACAATAGTTCCTCTTACAGCTTGAAAATTATCAACAATGAATGAAACGAACATATTACTTAGAAAGACGATAAGAAAAAAGTAAAGAATTAAACATATATTAGCGAGAAACACATCAGTATTCTTCAAATCTTTGTCTACAACAAAGTCGAGGATGATCATTTCAAAGCACGATTGTGTCGTAGTAATTAGTGTTGAAAACTTGAGAAGATCTCCATGAAAAAGTAGATATAAATGAGCAATGAAGCTCATATAGACAATCGAAGACATGGTGACGAAGCCAAGCAATGCATATTTTGCTCTTTTCAGAGTCACTTGAAAGAGAGTAAGGTGATGATTGAAGCGAAGCAATCGAAGTCTGAAATGAAAGTAAAAAGACTTATTTAACAAAAACAAAAGGTGAGCAAGTGAATAAAGTTTTTGAAAATCCTACTATCGGTAGTTATTCGTATGGTAAATCTTAAAACAAGTTGATCATCATTTAATTCAATTTTTTTCAGACACTTTGATACTTACGAATATTATGTCGTTAGTACAAAATTAAATATTTTCTTCTATGAATTTTTGTTTCTTTAGTAACACACTGAATTTGTGTTTGTACATTTCTGAAAAAATCGATTCATTTAGCTTTTCTGAACATGAGATTCTGGCGCAATGCTAAAAGTCTAGCATCATCGTAACTGTCGAAAGTTCGGTTATGGTCACGGACGAAAATATATTCAAAAGAGTATCTGCTCTCTTCGATATATGAATTGTATTTCATAATCTAAACAACTCTCCAAGTAGAAATGTTTAACGAATCATCGAAATAAAAGCAGATATGCATAAGAAATACGAGAGCTTTTTAGTGATACAGTAATGAGATTTACTTAACAGAATTTCGATAGTCAGCGATTGATCTACGTCCTTTTATTTCGGAATTACTCAAATATCATTTGCCGTCAATGAAATTCGATCATTTTGTCGTAAAATATCTTCTTCGACCATGACTTTTGATCTAAAATTTTCTTGCCCAATAATTTATAATTGCTGAAAATGAGATAAACATGCGATGTATTTTCGAATGTATATCAACTACAAAGATACTGTCGGTGAATCGACTTTAATCAGTTCGATTCGCTCTATCTCAATTCGGTTTCGGTGATGATTGCAAAGATAACGTCTACATCACGACACGTTTTATTTCAAGATATCCAACATCTTACCGGATCTTGATGATAAAAACTCCTTTCGACTCGGTATTTCTGAGAAGAACTAATTCTACTGATTCTTGGGAACTATCGAAATAAAGAAAAAAACTATTTATAAAATCATCCACCATAAGTTAAGTCTACAATTCATACACCTATTTTTTTCACGTGGCTCCTAGCCCTGTACCATCTGCTTACCAATTGCCAATAGTTGAGGTGCAACTAATTTTACTTCACTACATTTAAACTTGTATATCGTTGCCTTTGTTGGAAGGATTTCTTTTTCGCTTCTGTCCATGGTGAACACCGATATTCGATGATGTGTGTCACCTCAACTGGGAAAAAGACTGCAAAGCATTCAAATAATCGATTGATGGTTATCTTCTACTACAGAAAAACACCTTGAGCATTCACAAGTCTTTAAAGCAGGAAAGTATAACACAATTTCGTTGCTTGTACAAATTAAAACATTTTGTTCCATGCATCGATATGTTTAGAATAGCCACAATGTTGATGTCATGTCATGGCATGACAGATTCAGCTGTAATGCTTTGCAGAGTTTTCAGAAATCTTCAAATTTATTTTTGTTTGTTTTTTCTTTTTCCGTTTTTTTTTCAAGATGGTAGATTGTGTTCTTTTCATGCACGTGATCAAACATGTGTCGTTAAACATCGGAAGATGCTCTATTATTATAGTTATGAGTAAATTATTTATAACAACGTAGAAAAAAAGTCAAGAAGAACATTTTTTTTCTATTTATACTATCGACCTCTTTGACGTTACTGTTGTTGAAAAAAGAACAAAGAATTAGAAAAAAACACTTCTCTGATCATTCATTGTTACGAACACACCATTTGCACATTCAATACTTCGAAAAAACAATTATGTCATCGTCAGCTATTGATCAACACAAAAATTATTACACCCGGTAAAACTAGTAAATTAGCTGAAGCGGTTATTGAAGTATCACCTAATCGTCCACCAATCTACTGGTGATGCTACATCGTTTCAAAATGAAACTGCGCCGTCGGATAATATTGTTACAACTAGTATTACCAACAGACCTCAAAATTAAACATTATCATATTGTCTCATGAAAATAATTTAAAATTCTTTTATTACTCGTGATTTTCGATGTATAATCAATCAAATTAATTTTTTTTAAACATGCGTTTAGAGAATTATCTAGTAGTTTTCTTGATGACAATTATTATCTTGTGTAAAAATTTAATTTAATAAAAGAAAAGAAAAATCAAATCTTGCACTCATTACTGGCAAGTGAGTTGAACTGAAATATGCGTAAATTATATTGTAATGGAAGGAAGAAAACAAGACGAGTAAATTTTATTCATTGGTAGTATTAGGCATCAGCAAGTAGAAAACAAAAGAAATATGTTGCTTAAAATATAGATTTAAATGAATCGAAATACTCTTAACTTATATCAATTCAATCTTTGATGACACTATTTCTAGGACGAATATTTTCTCAGCCCGGGTGAACTAAGAAAATATAAAAAATTAATAGTAATGGAAATCACTATGAAAAAACTCACTATTCTATTGGTTTGGATCATTTGTATATTATTCCAAAGACGAAAAACAAGCATCATAAAATATTAGTTTGGCTATAAGAATATCAATCATTACTATGGACATTATTTGATAAATTTGCAACGTGTTTATATGCTGCTCGACTCGTTACAATATCTATCACATGTTCATGTAAAAGAAATTTAAAGATATATACCTGTAAACATTCTATTTCAGTTATTATACTATATCTGATCCAGAAAAATTCTAAAATTTTTTTATATTCGTGTTTTTTCTGAGTCAGTTATTCTTTTTTCAATATCTTCAATAAAGCATTTAGATGATATATGGTGCACATGAAAGATGACATCTATTGAATCAAACTACTAATTTCCAATAGTATTAAGTGATTACTTTTTTCTTAATTGAATCGCACTCAAAACATAATTCTTGATTTTAATATAATATATATTTATATAATATTATTTAATTTTTCTTTCAAAAAATATTGTTTTGATACCAAAAGAAAAGTCTATTTTTCGTAGATTATAAAATAGACAAAAAAAAATACACAGCTGCATGGTCATTAGGTAAATATAATGAC